CAAATACTGTATGCCTCCAAGTACAGTACATTGCCAATAAATGCTTGTACAATAATACTGCAATATTTGATTGAGTCAAGCATATTTATATTGTAATGATGCAACAATGAGTGCTGCACATCTCTTCAAGACAATGAAAGAAGATTTTTCATCTCACACCATTAGGTTACTGGGTTTTTACAGTTTTTATAAAACAGAAATTCAGGTGAAGGTCAAATTCAAATCTCACAGTTCCCTTCCTTAGGCATAAAAGCTCCCTGGCAGAACACTGCACACATCTTTTCTAGCACCCCTACCTCCAACCCCAACATCACCATTGCAGCAATTGTTCTCTGGCCCATCCTTCATAAGTGAGGGTGAATGTGACAGCACTGATCTCCAACAAGCACCGCCATTTCCTTAGCCAGGGGATTTAAAGCCAAAGTATGTACATTGCCAGTATATGCTTATAAAATAATTTTGCAATCATTGATTGATTCAAGCACATTTATGTTGTAATGACAACTATATAGTGCCTCTCTTCACAGCAATGAGAAATGTTTCATCCCACACTGCTTAGTTACTGGGTTTTACAGTCTTACCGTTACCTTAGATGTTTTTTGTTAAGATAAAGATAAAGTACTGAATCGATTGCATGGCTTGTATTTCTGCTGCTAAGAGAACAGCATTCAGTTTTCTAAAAAAGGGGGAATGACAAAAACACAGACTTTCAATAATACTCCATGCCTCTAGAAAACTAGAAATGTCTGACCTAACTTGAAATAAAATCTAGTAATTGAAAGTTAGCAAAATGGAATCTATTTGGACATTCAAAATTATTCTCCTTCAAAACAACAAATAAACATCAGATCTCATACTGTATGTTACTGAATAGGATAGCATTTGCAGTTTTACTCTCACAATAAAGAGTAAAGTGCAACTAAAATACATTGTACTGAGTGTGCCAATGTGCTTGGCAAAAATATTAAAGTTAATATCTCAGTATTCAATCACAGAATTGTAAGATTTGTTTCTTGTTTTGCTTTTATTTGCAGCAAAACAAGATGATTTATAGCTCTGTAATCAATAGGTCTCCAAATACTCATCCAAGAACTCCTAACAATCTCTTTAAAAAGATGTTAAAAATTTCAAAAGATATTTTACATTCACTAATTATCTGTCAATTAATCATATTTATGCAAGATAATATAATAATTGAATTATTTATATGCATAAATATGTCATATAGGTTATGACAGCTGTGGTACTACTCTTAAGCCTAATTTGGTCAGATTGCAGAAGATAATCAAGGCTAGCCAGAGTCAGTATTGGGATGGGAGAGTTTTCAAGAATACCAGATTACTGCTTTAAGCGGCGTTGGTAGTCCAGTAGGTGGCACTCTTCGCTCTGCACCAGAATTTCCAAAACAATGCCTCATAGTGATGGGAGACAATATTGCTTTAGGATTGCCACTTTTGGATGAAAAAAGGTCCTTACTTCTTAGTCATGAAGATCTCATGGCATGACTACCTGATGTCTTGGCTACATTGCTGGGCTATATATTAGGCAAGCCTAGGAAATTCCAGGGCTTGCACAATCGGCTTCCCTAAAATATTCTTCTCAGTTCAGCTGCTGAAGCAATTTGTCACATCACCTGATATGCGGAGCAGCAGGACTGCTGGTGTACAATGGCTGCTCATATAACTTAACACTGTTGCCTGCTAAGCAACTATACTATAAACTATCTACTACAAGTGACTCAGTAAATGCATGAAAGGTTTAGAGATACCCAAGTGCTTAAATGATCAATGAAAGCATTTGAACTTCTTAAGAGCTAATCTGGCAAGTAGCAAATCCTTTCAACCATCTTAATTTTTGCAAGCAAGACTGTAGTACTTGAATGACCAATTCTCATTAGTATTCTGATCTGAATAACCATCAGCAACAATACAAATATTGCCACAATGGACAATGAGTATTCTAAAATGTGCACAGTATTTTCCATAGGCTAAGCTGAAACAAATTAAGCATACATTTAGTTGCTTGTTCATTCATTTACTTCTAAAATGCTCGATATATTCAAGTCTCTGCTTGTATATTTGTCTTAAAGCTTGTTATATTTCCAGGTTCTTTTTATGTTACATTTTCAAGCAGCTCACCAGATTTACTTAGACTTCACAATGGGAAGAACTCTTGGAATTCTTTCAAGATATTTGTGATTCATGTTTTTACAAGGGGAAATATCAAGTTATTGAAATGCAAATGATCCACATTTACAGGAAAAATAAGAACATGCAGCTTTTAGAAGTCTTATTCTACAACGTTCCTTTGTTCAGAACTGCCAAAAATGTACAAAAGTCATACAGAGTTCAGAATTCTGTAAAACGAAAGTACACATTCCATTTGCATTTCTTTCTTTTTCGTTTTTTAATAGCCTTTTGATGTATACTTATTTTGTTGTTCAGGGTCAGTATTTTGAACAAGCCACACTTAAGGAAAGGCAAACTGTACATTTACTGAACCTTTCAATAGAAATTAATACTACAACATACAGTATATGATTAAGGAATCTGGAAAATGTCTTATCACTATGCAAGATATCGCCATCAGGAAATTTTAAAGTTAAGCACGAAAGCAGCTTTACAGTATTAATCTTTCAATTATTCAGAGTTCTCAGAAGAAAAATCAATAAATCACCAGTTCTCCTCCTAATCATCTGCCCAGAGTCAAAGCCAAGGGCATTTTCAGTAGTTTGGTCAAATTCTAATTAATTTAATGAGACAGAAGACAAAGGCAATGTGTTCTTAATATCTTAATGTTTGGTGTTAACGTGTCAGTCTGAGAAAATGACAACCTTAGCTGTAAAGTCAAGGCTGACAAAACCCCTTCTGCTAGAGAGGAATGAACTAGAGAGGCTGCTACTAGGGTGAAGGTGGGTTAGAGGGAGGGATGCTAGAAACACCATAAAATGGGTGCTCAGCAGGCAAAATATTTGTGTAAGAGAGCAGAAATGGAGGATTACAATTTGACCTCCTCCCAAACTTTACTTTAACAACTCTAAACAGGGAAAGTTCCCTTTTCAACATTCAGAATCATTAATACAAACTTATTTTCTAATTTTATTTTGTGAAATTAACCCAGCCGCCCATTTTCTAACTGCTTTATGCAGCACAGGATTACAGGATACAGTAGGTGGAATTTATCTCAGTAAGCAAGTCAGGATACACCATGGATGGGACACCAGTCCATTGCAGAGCACACACTCACAATAATTTTCCCAGAAGCCAATAAACCTAACAGTATGTCTTTGGACTGTGGGAAGGAAGTTTTCAGAGGAAAACCATGCAAACACAGAGAGAACATAAAACTCGACACACATGTAGCCCCAGCACTGCAAGGCAGTAACGATAACCACTGACACTGTGCAGCCCTTGTAAAATATATGTAGATATGAAATGTGAACCCTGTAAAACCCATTCTCTAAAAATGTGTAGCCATGTATGTGCTAAAATAATGGATTTCTTCAAAAGATCAATCTTTAAGACTTTATTATAATAGAAAGCTATAGATCAATTGAATAACATTAGTTAAAACTCTTCAGAGCTCATGTGAAGGATAAATTATTTTATAGTTGTACAGTAGCTCTTCTTTACCCATATTTCCTCAGTGCTCTGTTGAGTTTGTTTTTTCCACAGGCATACAGATGTTCATACTGTACCAGTAATGAAATATTCCTACCGGAATTCCTGGATTATTTCATGTATAACCCAATTGAAAGATTATTTACAGTAAATCCAGTTTAACTGCTGGCAAAAAAGGAATTCTTTAGATACTATCTCAAGGGAATATTCCGTTAAACAACAGGGAATGGTAACTATTTTTTCGACAAGGTACTACAGAGTTCTTAGGAAAATAGTTTTATATCTAATTTGTCTGGTTCATCATCAACACTTGTTAAAGTATTTACATTTGCTTCCATTTTAAAAAAATGATTGGAATGCAGAATATTGACTTGAAGAGTTTAAAAAACAGAATATTTGGCATGCAGCGCAGGAGGATAACTGATGTCAAACTTACAAAATAACAGAAAAAAAGGCTTAAAAGTATCCACACCAGTAGAACTACATACAGTACATGTATTAAACATTCTAAAGATGTTTATTTCATCCCTCTTGTTCACATGTGCACAATCGCTTGTCAAAGAAGAGCAATTGACATGAGTACTGTATCTACTGTATGTACAGTAACTTTGTTGTAGAAGACATCCTACATTCTTTCATAATACTTGGAATAATATAATATACAGTAGATTGGAAAAATATAGACGCGCAAAAATTCGGAGAATGTGAGCAGTAGCTCGGTTTTCTGGATCACAGCTTCTGGAGGTACGTGTTCGATTGTAACTGCATATTCTACCGCACAGAATTCAGTCTTTTGTAAATAGCAGGACAAGGAAGAAAACTCTGTCAGCATATTAAGAGTCTCAAGAGATTTAACTGAAGAAGAGGTGAGTGGTGGACAGAAAAGTGGGGATGAAAAGGAGCACAGAACAGAAAAATCTCTTATAATCAGTAACAAACGAGTAAAATTGACTAGAAGATCTTCTATTTATGAACAGTACTGTACATACTTGTATTTCAATGCTTAAAAAAACACAACCTCTACTGCTACTACTGAATTATGATGGTCAAATTTCTTATTTATGCTTTGCAAGGCTGTGTACAGTTTCAGTAACAATGTTTTTTTTTTCCAGATGGACCACAAGATACACCACGATACGTTTTTATCGTGGTGTATCTTGACGTTATTAATATTTTTGAACAGTTAAGTTTTGTGATCTCTCTGACAATTTTGAGACAATAAGGTCCGGACAAGTCCTTAGGTTCATTAACGTTTTTAATAACTTTAAACAGTAATGTGCTTTAAGTTTGTTAAACAAATGATTCCACTACATTAATACTCTAGGCTGCACCGATTCACTGAGCAACACAAATGTCTGATCTAGAAACTTGAGTCTTCTTATGTGCGGGTCACTTCGGTGAGGTGCCGTCAGTTCATGACGCCCTCCACAAGTCCTACTACGTGAAAGCTTTTCCTTCCATCGAGAAGCACTGCCACGGTCTTTTCCCTGTTGTTTGCTTTGTCTCAAGTAAAGTTTCCTCGGGCTGCATTATTTTTTTTTCCCCCAACCGGCGTGTATTTCCTCGTCTGTATCAGGGAGGGAGCACAGCACAACCTTTGTCAGATCCTTGCTTGAACATCATGCTGCAAACGTGCACGCTTTTCAGTGTTGAGACTGGGATCTCTGTGGATGCTGCAGGATTCAGTGACTCAAACTAGGCGCGTTTCGTTTCGGGTCTTTTTTTGTGCCTGCGTTAAATGTGCCTGCCTTTTCAAAGGATTTGAATAATGTGATTTTTCCTTTTGGAAAACCACCTTCCAGGACTGACGAGCCAGTTGTGAAAGTCTAACACGCTGTTGCTTCTTTTCTTCCCTGTATGCAGCGGGCAGATAATCAACCTGCTCCTACGGCAGTGGTAGGTTCAAGGCACTGCAATTTTTAAGTAGTCAGCGATTTTCCGCAACAAATTCGCTAAGGGGCAATTATGCAAAAAGTTTAATCTAACTTATGAAGACAGCCCGAGCTCTAGCCGAGTAATAAAAGGATTCCAGTGTACTTTTTTCCCCACTTTTTTTGAAAGAAGATCCATTTGGGATTTACTACAGTATTTAGTAAGCGGCTCACGAGGTGAAAGAATTCCCAATGCAATTGTTACTGCTTTTCCTAATAGTTCTCGTGAACTGTTGCCATCAAGGCAGTGAAGCCCAGGGTGGATCTATAAAAACTTTACGATCTTCAAATATAAGGCGTGAAGGTAAGTTATTTATTCATGCAGTACATTATACCAACTCACGCACATCTCTACACGACGTTAATCGTTGTTTTGTTCACCAAATGCGTATCTCGCTTTTCCCTGCTGTTTGGCGACTCCTGTTGGAACATCGACAGTAAGTTTTGTAAAGATTTGAATCTTAATCTAGACTGAATACGGTGGATTCAGACTTCATTTTAACTACAGTATATACACTGTCCGCTGTAGCACATTGCACGAGTTTCACTTTGTTTAGGAGGTGATGGTAAGGCACTGTGATTGCCCATCATGGTTAGACAGTACATGTTCAAAAGGCTCCATGAAGGGGGAAATAAATACTTTGGTGGCACCATTCTGTTTCAAACTGACACGCTTATGAAGTACAGGCCAGGAGGAATGTACTACATGAAACCCATAGCGAACGACAAGTGGAAGTTTTAGAAAGCACTATCAGTAAGCCCCTGTTTATATACGAGAATGACATACCCACGTAGAATTGATCATACAGTACTGCATGTTTATTTAACTGTTTAGCTGTTTAAGCACATTAATAAAAGATGTCTGTAGTAATGCATTGCTACGGTACATTCAAAAGGCTTTTGCTTTTTGAATGTACTGTAACATTCATACTGTAGGTATATTTAAAGTTATATCAAAAGGAGGGGTTGCCCGTACAGCCATAAACATGTACTACACTATATAAGCCTTGAACACGCGCGCTACTGCCGAGTTACTCAACTTGAACTTTCTTCAAGGAGCAAAAATCCCATTAGCACTCAGATGGAGGAACACACCATACCACCATCCCCCCGAAAATGAGGAGCCAGTCCCACCTTAAAACTGTCTCGAGCCGCGTCAATTAGAAGCCCCAGCTTTTAGTTGGTCCATATATACAGCGCATGTGTGTTTGCTGTTTACTTACTCATACTGGTTAACAGCTGTGCGCATTTAATTAATTTTGTTGTAATAAACGACAGCTGTTGGATATGACATCTTTGCAATGCGTCTACCAAATCTGACTTTTTGTGAAACATGCTTCACAGACCACAGCATTTGGTGCCAAACTGCAGTATTTTTGAAATGCAGAACGTAGTGTACGCATCTTATTGGAAATGTATAAAATACTATAGATCTGTAAGTTATTTCGTTTCCCCTTTATTGACTTTTAACACCAATGAATGCTAACTGCCTTTAACTTCTGTAAAGGTCTAGGGGGACCCCAAAGCTGTTCCGTTTTTCTCCTGTTTCAGTAGGCTTAAGAATCATACGGCCATGTTTGTCAACTTATTATGTTTGTCAGTAGTATAAAGATGTGAAACAAAGTCACAGGGAACTTGAATGTCTTGTTCAGAATTACAAAGAACACCATTATTGCCTTTGATCAAGATAACAGAAATTGGATGCTCATGGTTTCCTAAATTACGTTTGCAAGGGTGTTGAGCATGACCATAGTAGAGGTCCTGGTTCTCCTGGATCAGCCATTCTGCTCTAATGAGGTTTCCACCTTCACTTTTCAGGAACCAGATTTCTACATTTAGTCTCGATGCTGCTACATTTTTTTTCTTGGTTTCCAAATACACAATCCTAGCTTCTAATGGAGAAATCTTCTCATTCAAATTACAAGCAAAAGCAGTATAACTACCTAAAAAAGTATTTGGTAACCAACCAATTTCTAATGATTTAGAAATCATTGCATGTCTATTGTTAACCTTGCTACATCATTAATCAAATTGTTAAAAAAGCAGTTACACTTTAGGAGAAATGCCCCTTATTAGATGTCTGTAAAACATTTTTAGCATATTATTATTGGTATAAAGTTACAGTATATATAATAACTTCATACTGTAACTCTATGGTTAGAATTTGTACAGTAGTATGGTTCAGTCTAGAGTTTCATTACTTATAATGGATCCAATTAATTGACACCTTATGCACTCTTCATACTTCATACAGATATACATTTTGTTTCTAAGATGTTAAGGAATGCTACAGTATTTGCAATCTACATTCCACAAATATTCCACAAAATCTATTTACTTTTATAAAAAGTGCATACTCTGGTTATTTTGAGAATCTAAGACCTATCAACGGCCATACACTGTGGATCACAAATCATGTACATAATCTTGATGATAAGCGTGTCTAAATACTGTTACCACCCTAGCCAAAAGCTCAGTGGTGTGTCTCCTAAAGTAAAGCGATTTGAATGATATTAGCGTCAAAGAATCTAAACATGTAGCTTGTTTGATGTGAGAATTCAAGTTGGACTGGCCACCTAATGATGATCTTCAGCTTGAACATCATACTGTATAAAGCAACAAGCTAAGCTCTCAGGCTGTGCAGGAGTTTAACTGCACATGGGTGATTATTTTCTGCACTGAGTAGTGAGATTGAAATATTCCAGAAGGAATTGGAGTGGAGTGTCAGGGTAGGAAATCATATTTGCTGGCTGCTTGAAGGATGAGTTCATCAACAGCATGCAAAGACATTTAAAGATGAAGGCACAAAAGGCATGTTCCTCTTGCCATGGGCTCCTTATGTCTTTATGACTTTAATGATGAAACAAATCTTCACTTTTGCAGTGCTGAACTGCACGAATATATAATTTGTGGCACAGAGGTTCTTAAATACTTCATCACTACAGATGTTCATGAACATCTAGAATATTCAAATGCAAGAAGCAAGTTTCCGATCTCTTCAGTACAACATGTAAAATGGTTTTGTATCCAGATAGGGATACAGTTTCCCGCTAAGGGTTAAAGAAGAGCCAGAGCTAAGGATTTCATCAAATGGCCATTGTTTCAAATTGATAACTGCTGTTTTGTCAGTAAAAGAGCACAGTAATAATAGCATGCCAGGTTTTCTGGTGCTTACTGGACAAAGATGAGTGAAATGTCTTCCGCCAGGGAATGAATCTAAAAAATGTGACCCCTGGATTGTAATCTGTAGCATGTCCTGTTTTATTTAACATTACATTCTTTGTATTCGACTGGGCTATGACAATAGCTCCTATACCTGTAGATGAAATGCTGCTTGAATCATCAGGCTTATGTCCCAACAGTGTAAAACCTTTTTGAACTGTGAGAAAAAAAAAGTAAATACTATTGTAGGAGGTCTCGGTTCCATTTTTGGTCCTTGTAAAGAAAGGAGCAGGAAATAATGGGTGCACATGTTCTCGCAAGAGTCTGGTAGTGTTTGATATTGGTTATTAGAGCCAGTGTCGATATCAATCAGTCTAGATGGAGAATCTAGAGATTTTGTAACTGCTTGATTGATTTCAATTACAGTCCAAGCTTTCATCAGGCGAGGCAGTGCTACATCGTTTGCTTCTTTCATTTGAAGAGTTGTATCCATTTGAGGGCAAGATATATGAAGGAAGCTGAGATTATGTGCAGATGTCGTCTTGTGGTCCAAGACTTTTTCAAATGAAAATATATCACTCTTGGAGGCTTGTTTGTTGGAATTATACCATTATTTTAGAAGGCTAATATGAGTTCTGTGCAGATTTGGGATTTTCTTGTCCATATCTTTGCCATTGGCTGACTATTTTGGCAAATCTTACATATGTATACAGTATACAGTATGTGGCCTATATGGTATTTTCACTTTTGCAAATTAAACAAAACTCCTTTAGAATAAATCACTTAGATACTTGTTTAAAACCATTTCTACATTGCTAGAGAATAGAACTTTAGCTAAGCTACCTGTATGAAGGGCAAGCAAGCGGTGTGTGTCCACTGATGTGTTTTTTCACAGACTGGAAATATTCCAAAAGTATGTCTGCAGAACTATTATCTATAAAATGTTTTTCAAAGGGTCATTTACGGGGTAGTATTCAACATAGGTGGGACAGAGTAAAAGCAACAACCAGAAAATGCAAAACTTTCAAGAATATGATATGTATTCACAGGCAAACCTTTTTGTTTTAGTTTCAGGTATTCTGTCACACAAAATGATGCAATAAATGATATAATTTGGAACTGTGCTTAATGTGTGCCAAAATTATTATTCCATGATCAGTTTATGAGTTTGATGTAATACATTCGAGAGGAAAAATCAAGACAACCTCCAAAAACTGGCTAGTTTAGTTACATCACAGTGCATCCACTTGGACACTAAGCATACATTTGATGCAAATGATGACTGATCATTTCCAGATGGAAGCATTCTAGTTGGAGTTCACTAATTAGATTTGGATGTTATCAGTGAGAAATTTGCTTTCACCACTAGTTTTATGCTGCTTTCTGAATTTGCTCCTGTCCCCCTTGAGGAACTAAGTGTCCTGTTTTGTAGCATTGTACAGCCACGTATGCAAAACAATAATGAAGCTAACAGCCATTACAGTGAGATTGCAAGTTTATACAAAAAGTTAACAAAATCTTTTTTCTAGACCATTCTAACTGTGCATGCAGCAGGTTGGGTACATCGGTTATAGTAATAATCATAATATAGTAACTAATAATAAAGTTTATGTTAATATAATTAATCTGTGAGATCCTTACAACTTATAATAATAATTAATAATTCTTTACACTTGTATAGCACTTTTCTGGACACTCCAGCGCTTTACAGGTAATGGGTACTACTCCCCTCCACCACCACCCGTGTGTAACCCCCACCTGGATTATGCCATAGTGCGCCAGTACACTCGCCACACACCATCTACTAGTGGGGAAGAGAACAGAGTGATGAAGCCAATTCATAGATGGGGATTTTTAGGAGGCCATGATTGGTAAGGGCCAATGGGAAATCCTGGGGTAACACCCCTTCTCTTTTTTAGAAACAGATTTTTAAGGATCTCGGTTTTATGTTTCATCCGAAGGATGGCACCTTTTTACAGAATAGTGTATTATTACAGAATTACAGAATAGTGTCCCCATACTGGGACATTAGGACCCACACAGACTGCGGTGTGAGCGCCCCTTACTGGCCCCCCTAATACCTCTTTCAGCAGTAACATTAGTTTTTTACCCAGGAGGTCTCCCATCCAGGTACTGACCAGG